CCAAATTGTGTGTGTATAGGGTTGGGGAAAGGAAAAAGAATAAAAGCAAGATGTCTTATAAAATATAGTCAATCAATAACTTAAACAAAAATGCCTTGTTCTAGGGAAAAAAATCTTGGCTCTTTAAATCACACTATTGTGTGCATGTGTTTGTGTGGGTGTGTGTGTGCTGGGGAACTGCGAAATCTAAAATATTAACTAATAATGTATAGTAAGTTTGCATTTTACATATAGGTTCAGTACAGTTGATAATAAGAAAATTTAACTAAAGTTCATGTAACACAATACAATTTATATCTTATACTTTTGACATTTATGTAGATAATCCTGAAAAGAGTAATTTAAAAACTATATATTCAGACTACTGTTAAGGAAGATAATTTTAGCTCTTTCTTACACACAGTTTAACACTTTAAAATCAATATAAATATAATACCATCCACATTATGCTTATTTTATATATTTGCAATAAAGAAATTAACTAAAGATTTTTTCATTAGCTATAATTTTTAGCACTTATTCTGTGCTCAAAACTGCTGGTTGTAGTATCAGATTTATAAAGTGAGGATTTTTATAAAGATTTTCAATCTGTGAAGACTTGGAGAGGCACTGCCAGCTACACAGTTGCAGTCATCCTCATTTAAGAGATTCTGCATTCTTACAGGTTTCACCTAGCCAAATGTTTCTTTAACTGCCCTCAGAATGACTCAGATTCAGGAATCAGCAAGGTCCTATTGGCATTTGATCAGCAGGATGTAAGATGGCCTAAAGCAAAACCAACCAAGCCCACTTCCATCAAGTCTATTGCAAATCAAAGAGACCCTATAGCACAGTATAGAAATAGAACACATGGTTTCCAAGGCTGTCAATCTTTATGTAAACAGACTGCCTCATCTTTCTTGCTCCGAGCTGAACTTGTGTTTAACAGCTGACTGCTTTAACCATTATACCACCAGAACTCCTTTGGAAGATTGCCTAGACATCACCAAATAAGGACTTCATTTGTCTTGTTCATCAGTGTATTCTCAGTATTTCCAACAAAGACCACAGAGATGATTACATACTGACCTCCCAGAGCAGAGAACGTATCCAGGACAGCATTTCTTTTCCCTAGCTGCATGAATCCAGTGCCAATTACCAATTGCCCCACATATATCTTGTTGTTATTGTTGTTACATGCCATTGAGTCGGACCTGACTCATAGTGACCCATCCTTGGGTTTCCGAGGCAGTATCACTGTGGAAGTAGATTGCCCAACCCTCCTTCTGAAGAGTGGCTGGTGGGTTTGAACCTCCAGCTCTGGCAGCATAGTGCCTAAGGCACTTGACTGCTAACCAGAAGTCTGACAGTTCAAACCCACCAGCCACTCCTCGGAAGGAAGATGGGGCAATCTACTTCTGTAGTGATAGTGCCTTGGAAACCCAGGAAGCGGTCGCTATGAGTCGGGTCCGACTCGACAGCACATAAAAACTAGGCACTATTAGTCATGGTTAATTTCTAAATACATTCTTTAGTAACCATGCTAGCCCTTGGCCCTTCACACTAATACCTGTTCAAAGGATTGCAAACATTTAATATTTTCAAAAATTTGGCAGTGGATAGTGGATAAGACACTTGCCTGCTAACCAGACGGCTGGTGGTTCAAACCCACCAGCCACTCCTCGGAAGGAAGGTTGGGCAATCCTACTTCCGTAGTGATACTGCCTCGGAAACCCAAGGAGGGGTCGCTATGAGTCGGGGCCGACTCGAGGGCACATAACAACAACATAACAACATAGTGGATAAGGAGAGAGATTGCTTGTGTGTAGAAATCATTTTTCCCCTTTTCAGCTCTGTGACCTTGGATCAACCATTTTATCTCTCTGTGCCTTAGTTTCTTATCTGTAAAATGCTGAAAATGATGTTTGTTTGTTTTTTTTTTTTTTGCAGAAAAAATGATTTAAAGTGTTGTCTTAGTTACCTAAAAAAAAAAAAAAAAAAAAACCTCACTGCCCTGGAGTGAGATCCAATTCATAGTGACCCCTCCTTGGGTTTCCAAGGTGCTATCACTATGGAAGTAGATTGCCCAACCTTCCTTCTGAGGAGTGGCGGGTGGGTTTGAACCACCACCCTTCTGGTTAACACCCAAATGCCTGAGGCACTACGCCACCAGAGCTTTTTCTTAGTTACTTAGTGCTGATACAACAGAAGTTTCACAGATAGGGGTCTTTAAAGAACAGATTTTTATTTATTTTTATTTTTCCCTCACAGTTCCATAGGCTAAAAGTCCAAATCAAGGTCTTGGCTGTGTTGATTTCCTCTTTGTAGGTAGTCCCAGTTCCTTGGCTTTTAGAATATATTCATTTGGTCTTTGCCTTCTCCCTGTGTCTTTGTGTTTCTCTGTATCTGTGCTGTTCATCATGTAACTCAGAAGTAATTAGGCTTAGAATCTATCCTACAGTGGCATGATCTCAACTTATTGGTTGATTATATTACATTAGATTGCATTGTGGAAAATGATTGCATTACGTTACATTATAGTCACAGTTGTAAAGAATAAGATTACAATTATGTCAGGGGAACATAATTCAAACCATAACATACATATAATACTAGTAAATAGGAAGGGTCTATTTCATGTAATCTATTATTAATATAATACATATCAATTTATTATCAACTACATCTGTTACATGATATTGTAATGAATTTATAAATTTTATAAAGCTTCATATAATTTTATACCTGTTTATTGCCCATCACCCTAGAATGTGAATGCCTTAGGTGCAATTTTTATATTGCTTTTACTGTTATTCTCTTTTTATTTCCAGAAACTAGCCAGATGTCTAGACTTGAAAAGAAATTTAAAACAATTTGTAGAATGAAGGAATTAATAATAGAGAGCATTATGATAACTATACTGATCCAATCAGATTAAAATTCCAGTGTGATAGCCAGGATTCTTCCCATGAATTGTATATATGAGTTAAAAATTTTATACCTCTTCAGTCTTATTTCCCTCTGCCTTTTACCGACATTCTCATCACTTCCACTGCCTATGGTCCCAGATCACTCCTCTGGCTGCCAAAAGAAATGAATGGAGATACAGATAGAGATCATGTAACAAAGCCCCGTGTAAGGCTATCACAGTCGTCTAGTATCATCTTCCCATTCTTTCATCATACACTTCTCCATCTTCCTGTAGGTTGCATACACACACACACACACACACACACACACACACCTGAAGGCTCCTTTTCTGCTGCTTTTTCAGACACCAAAATTGCTAGTTCTGTCTCTCAATTTAATTACTTCTCTTTTGTTAGTGAGTTCTGTGCTATTATGAAAACACTTTCTATTATTCTTTACTGTGAAAAGGATAATGCAAAATTGTCTTAACTGCAGCACAAAGTTTACATTTTGGTATAAAGAAGAACTTCTTGACAGGATTGCTAAACACTAAAATTGCCAAACAACAGTAGTCTCTGCACTGTCTTTGAACAATGAGATACTTTCTCATCTCTTTAGAAGCAATTGTTTTCCATCTTGTCTTGAAAGAGAATGAGACTTCAAACATTGTTTTTCAACCTCTTGCTTCTAACACATATATTTAAAAATCTTTAGAAATCTTCCTTTAAAATGCTGCCAAAGCTTAATTTTGTTAAAATTGAACACAATTATACAGATAGGTTTTTATGTTGAAATAATGTTGTAAAAATTCACAGTTAATATAGCACCTACTACTTGACATGCAAATTGCATTCTTCACTGATTTTTTTGTAGTGCATTTTAATATCATATTTACCATCAGCAGTGTACATTTCATTTCAATGCACCATTTATAAAGGCAGTATTATGGATCCATTATAAGTAAAATCCTTTGTAAAACAATTACATAAAATTATTAGAGCAATTGTGGCTATTTTTTAGCATTAAGTCAAGCAATTATTATTTTTTTTTCACTATGGCTATTACATAGAAGACACTGATTATAAGTCTTGTTCCTTCAATGAGATTGTATTTAGTTTGGAGAAGAAATTTACAAAATTAAAACTTCAAAATAGAGAATGAAAATATGTATCATGTTATACACCAGAGTGCTCTAAATGGAGAGTTAAATGAACATTGGAAAAATAAGGAAAGAATTCTGGAAGAATAATAATATGAACTTAGGTTAATTAGAATTTAGAATGGTCAGAATTAATAGTTAATTAAAAGAGGAAAATGTAAATATTTGGGATATACATATATATATTATATACATATATATATATATTTATATGTAATTTCTTTTTTATACACACACATATATATGATATATATGATTTCTTCAAAACAAATTCAATTCTATAAAACATTCTTGGGCTTAAAAATGCTTTGGAGCCAGATATATATGAGTTTAAGTACAAAACCAAGTACAATCTTAACAGTTTGCCTTTGGCAATGCATTTCATTTCACTACATCTCATTTCTGTGTCTCTAAAACTATCAATATAGGGATATATAGGGAGGATTAAAACTAAGATAATGTATTTAAACACAGGAGTCATTTTGCACTATCATTTTTTTTTTTTTTTTTTTGTCCTTCATAGTGCCAATGCCTTTGGCTTATATAGGAAACACAAAGTAAATATGTTGTTATGGGATTTGATACTATTCAAAGTTTTCTGTTTTATCCTGGAAATAGTCCATTGCATTTTCCTTTTATAGCTTCTAAAGTCTGAAAAAGTATAAACTCGCAAATTATGTACTAAGTAAACTGTGCATAAAATATTAGTTTAAATACTATTAAAATGTATTATTTCTTTTTGAAAATTTAGTTTTGAGAACAACTTTGTTTTTTTGTTACAGGAGACAACTGCAAGACAGCTGAATATAGCAAGATGAAAAGCATACTTTTAAACTTACAAAATCAGAAATACATTACACAAGAAAATGAAAATCTTAAAGGTGATGACATATCTCGGAAGAAGCTTTTGGTGGATCAAATGTTTAAATATTTTGATGCTGACAGCAACGGGCTTGTAGAAATTAATGAACTCACTCAGGTATGACTAGTTATTAAATTAATAAGCTTAATTAAATGTGTGAACTTATGCTATCTTCATAAAATATATGCTTAATCAATATCATTTAAAAGTGTAGAAATAACATTTTTAAGAGCAGAATTGGACTACTCTATCAAATTCTGTTAATTTCAAGTAAGATTTATATAGTATACTACAGTTGAAGAAGAGAGATCTACTTTTGACAGGCTTTTATGTCATAACTACCTAAAGAAATTACGTTTTCCCTGTATGATAGAATTTTCCAGACCTTTCCAGGTATGGAGCCTATGAATGTGCAGAGGGAACTCTGATGGTGAAGTGCATAAATGATTTGACTGCTAATCAGAAGGTTGGTGGTCAAACCCACCAGTCACTTTGTAGAAAGAAAACAGAACAATCTATTTCCATGAAGATTTATCACTGTGGAAGCCCAATGGGGTTGCTATGAGTTGAAATCCACTTTATGGCCTTGGGTTTGGATATTTTAGTTTTATGCAGTGTGCAGAGTGCAATATGCAAGGATCTCTAGTGATGCAGTGGTTAAATAATATGGCTGCTAATGAAAAGTTCTGAAATTAGAACCCACCAACTTCTCCATGGAAGAAAAATGAGGCAGTTGGCTTCCATAAAGATTTTCAGCCTTGGAAACCCTATCAGGCAGTTCTACCCTATCCTAGATGGTCACTATGAGTCAGAACTGACTCTGTGACAGTATGTTTTTGTTTTTGTTTTCATGCAATATTTTATTTTCTATCTGTTAATAAAAGTTGGTTTATAAAGCATTTTAGAATAGTGCTGACAAGTAATTAAGCGCCTCAACAGCAAAATGATAATAAATGACCTAAAACCCTCCTGAATTACAGAGAACTACTTTTTCAATTATCAAGGATCAAATACATTATGTTCAATCTATTCTTAATATTAAGTAAATGTTACTTTATTTTGTTTATTTGAAAATTGATATCCAAATTATATATGTTAAAAACAAAGAAAAAAAAATTTAAAAAAGAAAAAGAAAAACATTGTTATTATATAGAATAGTTCAACTAGATGCCAGGCCTTTCCTCAGATCCATTTTGGGAAAACTGATTGTGTGTGTGTGTGTGTGTGTGTGAGTGAGCTGGTTGTGCCCAGTTGTTGTTGTTGTTGTTGCGTGCCCAGTAGTGGATGTAAAATAAAGGGCACAATAATTTTTCCAAAAATATATCCAAGAACTATAAAGTAATGGAGAGAAGAATCTAATCTTGGATGACTAGGAAAATGATGGGTAGCACTGGCAAAATTTGCTGAGTCCTTGATGTTCTCCATCATGTACCTTGAGGTAGATTCTACTGATTTGCTTACCAATGCATATATACCTTTGAAAAGAATATCAGATAATCCAGTTCCACAAAATGATGCCATTCAGATTTTATGGCTAGTTTTATGGTATGTTGTAACAATTGACATTACCAAATAATGGTCATATTACTTTAGTCTATGTCCATCTGGCATATTATAATATATTCTTTCATTTCTTAAGATTTTTATTAACATACCTGTATCTCTCTATCACTGTAGTCAGTGGATGGACACAAACCATGACCTAGCTCAATCTAGTTATCACCATAGAACTAAGTTCAAAGGAATAATTGCTAATCACTAGTAAATGGAAATCTATAGTATCTCTTCTTGAACTACATCATTTTCAAGTTGTTCTTCTCTGCTTATATTCATTTACAAAGTTTAGTTTTGTTTTCTCAGTCACATTAGATTTATGTGTGCTTTATGCACCTGGTGGCATAGTTTGTAAGGCATTTGGCTTCTAATCAAAAGATTGGCAGTTCAAACCCACTAGCTCCTCTGGGAGGAAGATGAGGAAATCTACTTCCATAAAGATTTACAGCCTTGGAAACCCAATGGGTGCTGCTCTGAGTCAGAATCTACTCTATGACATTGGGTTTGATTTGGTTTTGGTTTTAAGTCTGGAAAACATACTTCCAATTTATTTGAACATTATGATGCTGTGAGACTAGGAAAAAAAATAGTATGCCAATTATATATAGGTAGCCCAGGGGTCACAAATATCCAACTTATGAACAATCCATAATTATAAACCAGTCCACATGTCTTTCATTGAGCACTGCTAAAAGGACAAGGAGGGCACATGTTCTGACCTCCTCTAATCCCACAAGAGGATGACAGAATCACCATCAATAGCCCAAGGCCTATTCCTGCGAGGCCAGACATGCCTCCCTCCAGCCCTTTCTCCAATTGTTCTTCCCAAAGCACCCATCACCTCTTTCCTGGGTTCGATAATTCACTGCATTGGCCATGCAGAACTCACAGATTATGAGGTTTATTAGGGAAGCACCAGGCTACAATTCAAGTTCAGGAAAAAATGCTCAGCCTCTCTCTTAGTCCACTGTCTCTCAGCCAAGTCTCTCACAGTCTCTTCCCAAGCAGTGCATGTTCCTTGGTGTCTCAGCAATGCGTGTGTCTTGTGTCTCTTTCCCAGCAGCACATGTCTCTTTCAGTAACACATGTCTCTTTCAGCAGCACGTCCTCCTCAACCAGCAGTCAGAGAGAGTTCTGCCTCTAGGAGGCCTCCTTTTGAGCCAGCAGAGTGGTCAACCTAGCCAATCATAGCATCAGAACTCTAAGCATCTGAGAGAGAGTGGGAACCTCCCAGAACATTGTTTTGTGCCACTCCCAACAGAAATTCTCCAGGTGGACAACTTTAGCAATCAGGAGCTCCTCAGTTGCTCATAGCAAATCCCACCTTGGAGTTTACAAAGACTTATGGGTAGAAAAGCCACACTAAGTAATTTACTACACCGCAAGCACAAACACAGAGAGCATGGACAGGAAAGGACCAAGTGGCATCTGCCTCAACTCTGACTTATCCTGCAGCAGCTGGAAGGTGTTCCCCCCACAAACATCCCCAGACTCCAGAGGTGTCACACTGAACTGAACCCAGGAGGTGATGGCAGTGCATGGGGAGTACAGAAAGGGCAGCCTCATGTTGCTTGCACCACTGCCAGGGAGCTGTCTCAGGTTTCAGCTGGGCCTAGCAGGGCCCTAGGCTGAGTGGGAAGCTGCAGGCTCAGACCCAGCTTTGCTGCACACAGCTTGTGTGGTCACCACTTGGGCACTCTCCATAATCAAGTGTTCCCTAGTGACACTGGACCTCCATGGGATATCTACCCAGAACCCAGCTATCCCTAGCCCTGACCTAGCTTTACCTTGCCCGCATTGCTGATTCTGTGCCATGCAACCTGAGCTGTGTGACAAGTTCCTCCGACGTATGGAGCGAGGATCTGGGTGTGAAAGCAATGAGATCAGGGCTACTGTATCCAGAGAAAGGTGTGAGGTCAAGCTAGGGTTGCCTGGTTACCTGGAGAGGTAGAATTCATGCCACCTATGCTATTGCAAATATATGATGATTAGTAATGAATGGGGGCTATTTTTGATGCTCATCAAACATTATTATTATTGTTACACTGTTATTAGGATAGAAAGGAGCTCTGGTGGCAGTGCTTAAGATATTGATTGTTACCCAGAAGATTGGCAGTTCAAACCCACCAGCCCCTCCATGGAAGGAAGATGAGACAATATACTTCCCTAGAGGGGTCGCTATGAGTCGGGGCCGACTCGACGGCAAACAACAACAACAACAACAACAAAGTTTTACTAACTTGGAAATTCAATGGGAGTCGTTATACATCAGAATGGACTTGATGGCAGTAAGTTTGGTTTAGTTAGGATAGGGAGTTCTGGTGGCTGTAGTGGGTAAGGCATTTGCCTGCTAACCAGAAGGTTCAGTGGTTCAAACCCACCAGCTGCTCCCTGTGGGAGGAACATGAGGGAAAGATTTGTAGCCTTGGAAACCCAGTGGGAGTTCCTATGAGTCAGAATCAACTTGGTGACTGTGGTAGTTAAGTTTGTGTGTCAACTTGGCTGGGCCTGTTTGAGTGGCTGGGCAGCTGGATGTAGTATTCCCCACGTTCTGGTTACTTAGTGCCACTCTGACAAGAAATATATCACAAATGGGATGACCTTAACAAACAGGGGTTTATTCTTACAATTTGGAGGCTTGAAGTCCAAGTTCAAAATGCCAAGCTCTAGGGGCTGGGTGAAAGCCCCTCAACCTTGGGGTCCAGCTCTGCCTCCTGCTCCCAGCCCACTGGAGCTAGAGGCATTTCTTCACTCAGACAGCTGCTGGCTGTTGAGGCTGAGAAGCCCCAACATTGACTAGTAAAACGGCAGAGTACCAATATCCCCAAACCACATGGCAGGCTATTAACTTAAGTCCACTGTAAGTCCCAAGGTCAGCAGAGTATAGCAGGCTGCTGAGCAACGACAGGGCTACATGCAGGGTCCAAGCGTGCCAAAGGCTAGAGACCATTCCCAAAGCTTCTCCTTATATACAGGAAGCAGACCACATTCCAAAGGCAGCTACTCAGCTGTTTGTGGTAGATCCCACCATGGAGTTGATTGCCAATGTCATCATGGTTCAGAACAACTACATCAGCTGCCCAGCCACTCAACCAGGCCCAGCCAAGTTGACACACAAACATAACTACCACACCCCATGATGTGTTAAACATTTTAACTTAAAATGCATAAAAAGTAAAAGGAAAATGATCATATCTGTTAATTTATAAGTTATTATTAACAGGGGATATATAGGTATCCCCCACTTTTCAAGAGTTTACGTTAAACCAATTAACTTTTACAAAAGACCTACATTAGTACTTGTTTTTGCTAACCCAAAGATATCCAAAGAGGATTTTCATTTTTATTAAAAATGCAAAAAGTGAAGCAAGCATTCAGTGTTTGTTTTGCAATGAGCCATTAAAAATGCAGAGGGCACATGAGAGTGGCCTTTCCAAGCTCTTTTCCCCCAGACTACACTCAGCATCTCAGCATCAAACCACCATAGTCTTGAAGTGTGTCTATGAAGACTATAGGTTAGTGTTATTTTAGGTTTTATATGTTATTTGGTGCAGTTTGGTAGA